ATTTTGTTAGGGTTTGATCCCTAGTATCCACTATGTTCTAAGATTGATGTTGCTATGACTTTGTTATGCTTAATGCTTGTCACTAGGGCCCGAGTACCATGATTTCAGATCTGAACCTATTTTGTTTTCATGAATATATTTGTGTTCTTGATCCTATCTTGCAAGTTATAGTCACCTACTACGCGTTACGATCCGGCAACCCCGGAGTGACAATAGTCGGGACACTTCCCGGTGATGACCGTAGTTTGAGGAGATCATGTATTCACTACATGCTAATGCTTTGTCCGGTTCTCTATTAAAATGAGGCCTTAATATACCTTAGTTTCCAATAGGACCCCGCTACCACGGGAGGGTAGGACAAAAGATGTCATGCAAGTTCTTTTCTATAAGCACGTATGATTATATTCGGAATACATGCCTACATTATATTGATGAATTGGAACTAGTTATGTGTCACCCTATGTTATAACTGTTGCATGATGAATGTCATCCGACATAATTATTCATCATTGATCTATTGCCTACGAGCTCGTTTCATATTGATCTTTACTAAGTTACTTCTCCATTGCCACTGTTACGATTGCTACAAAACTACTACTGTTACTTTTGCCATCATTACCGTTACTTCCATACTACTTTGCTACTAAATACTTTGCTGCAGATATTAAGTCTTTCAGATGTGGTTCAATTGACAACTCAGCTGCTAATACTTGAGAATATTCTTTGGCTTCCCTTGTGTCGAATCAATAAATTTGGGTTGAATACTCTATCCTTGAAAATTGTTGCGATCCCCTATACTTGTGGGTTATCATCCAACGACCGTGCACATGGCATGGCTGAATGGACATCAACATGGTGGACCTTCTCGAGCGTGTCGCCATCATTGATGTCGAAAGCGATGGCGCTACAACATCGGCTCGCTTCGAAAAGGAGGCGTAGAAGTGCATGTCGACATGATCGATCAATCTGGGAGGCTAGCTCTAGGTTCGTGCAAATTTCCTGTCAAATCTCCCCTGGAAATATGGATCACATCCGAGCAGAGAGGAGAAGAAAACGTAATGGCTTCATACTACTGATATTTTCAAGTAGTACTCTCTCCGTTTCTTTTTAATCTGCATACAAGATTTGGTCAAAGTCAAATTTTGTAAAGTTTGGCCAACTTTGTTGGAAAAAATATCAATATCTACAATACCAAAGCTATATGGTATGAAAATTAATTTCATGATGCATCTAACAATATTGATTTCATATTGTGAATCTTGGTATTTTTTCTATGAACTTCGTCAAAGTTGACAAAGTTTGACTTTGACCAGATCTTATATGTAGACTAAAACAAAACGAATGGAGTATTACTTAGTCCATTGAATGACTGGAAATGAACGGCTCATATTGTTTAGATGCACTGTAAAAGAACTTCGGATAATATTACACATTAGAATTACAAACGTAGTACATATTACAAGCATAATTACAATCCTGGCGGTGACAGAGCGCATCCAGTGTAGAATAGAAATGAGCAGTTATTTATATGAAGACATTAGTGTCACAAGGACAAGACAGGACCAATGGTTTTCTAGCACCCCTTAAGGTTTTCGAGGCTCATGTCATGTACATGGCTTTCCCCGGCTCCGTATTTACGATGTGTAAAGCACATAGGTTCTTTCGGCTGCGCGAGCTCAATGCCTTTGTTATCCAGGCTTGCTACCACCCAAGACATGAGAGGGCGAGCGTCCGGGTCATGCTGCACCGACAAGAGTCCGACATGGATGCATCGTAGAGCTTCAGCGAGAGAGCAATCCTCGATGATAGATGACTCGATTAGATCCATCAATTTCCCATCCTTCCTTAAGCTCCACGCCTGCATCAAACCAATCATGTCATTAACTAAGTCCACGACATAGTACCACCTTCATATCAGTTGAACAAATTCTAATCACTGAATAAAGTTTTTTTAGAAAAGGAGGATAACCCGCAGCCTCTGTATCGAAAGATGCACACAACCATAATCACTAGATAAAGTAAAATACACTCACATAATTTATAAGGTTATGAGTGCATGCACATGAGCTCTTTGGGGTTGTGGTGCCGGTCTTCATGCCACTCACAATCTCTAGAATTAATACCCCAAAGCTGTAAACATCGGATTTGACGGAGATTATGCCTTCCATTGCGTATTCAGGCGACATGTATCCGCTGGTTTGACAATTAACCATGGTAAATTGAAACTTATCATCCAATTGAAGCACAAAAGTTAAGAGATCCCATAAATGAAATTCCACACTACTCACAATGTTCCAACAACTTGATTGGTATGTTGTTCGTGTTCGTTCACACCAAAGACCCTAGCTGTACCAAAATCAGATATTTTCGGGTTCATCTCAGCATCCAACAATATGTTGCCTGCTTTGAGATCTCTATGAATCATAACCAATCTGGAATCTTGGTGGAGATAAAGAAGTCCCCTAGCTACTCCAATGATTATCTTAAATCTTGTTGGCCAATTGAGTAGTGATTTTCTTGTATCATCTATCAGGGATAAAGTTAGACGAATCATCTTGTCAGTGATGTTTGACCGAAAATAGAGATTTTGCAACAGGTGAGTAGAGAACGTACTGAAAATGAAGTAATCCAAACTTCGGTTAGGTAGGTATTCATAAATCAAAAGCTTTTCGTCTTCATAAATACTGCAGCCCATAAGTTTGACCAAGTTTCTATGCTGCAACCTAGAAGTCAGAGCTATTTCATTTTTGAACTCCACAGCCCCTTGGACAGAACCAACACGAAGCCTTTTCACAGCAATTTCCTTACCATCTTCGAACGTTCCCTGAAACATGAGGTATTATTGAGTCAAGAAAGTTAGATCTTCTAATATTAATTATCTAACTGTTTCCCTTGCAAAAAAAGATCTAACTATCAGTAAAAATATTTCTTACCTTATAAACGTTGCCAAACCCTCCTTTGCCAAGAATGTTGGATTCAGAGAAATTATTTGTCGCAGCAGCAAGTGCCATGAAGTTCAAAATGGGAAACTCTGTGTAACTATCAGCAACCTCATTATAATTTTCTGTATCTCGTCGCATCATCCTTTCCCGGACAACCATGCTTCCTTGATTGCCTGTCAGGACTGTGTGCACCATCTCTTCAGTTTCTTGGGACTGGAGATAAGATTAAATTATAACTAAAGAAAAAGTTTCATACCTCTAGAGCCATAGATCCAAATAGGCACCACGCATATGAGTATCAGAAAACTTGAAACAACTGGTAATACAATTTCTAGGATTTTGATCTTTCTCATGTTGCCTGCACAACAAATAATATAACGAGAATCACCAAAGTTTGTTAGTGCTAATCACCACATTCATAGTGGACTCCTTTCTGGAATTTCACTCTTTAGAGGAAAAGAATATATATATATATATATATATATATATATATATATATATATATATATATATATATATATATATATATATATA